GTTTTTCTCACATCAATGTTTCTATCTCTTTCTCCCTTCCTCTCTCTCTAAAAAAATCAACAAAAACATCTTTAAAAAAAGTAAAATGTTTTATTTCTTTAAATTTTAAAATCTAGTTTTAAAAAATCAAGGTAATATATGTACATAGCTAAAGAAAAAAAAGAGGCAGTACACACAAGGGTTCATGATGAAAAGCAATATACCCTACACTCAGAGGCACTCATTTCTGTTCACAGTTCTTCTAATGGTCACAAGTACTAGATAAAAACATGTTTTGGGCCCAGCTGGTGTGGCTGAGTGGATTTAGTATTGTCCCATGGACTGAGAGGTTCTGGTTCAAGTCCCTATCAGGGCACATGCCAGTAGGTGTCGATGTTTCTTTCTCACATGGATGTTTCTATTTCTCTCTTTCTTCCCCTCTCTAAAAAAATCATCAATAAAAACATATTTAAAAACAAACATGCTTTTGGTATATTATATCCTGAATCCAACCTCTTTTTCTCACTTCTACCAATAACTCCTGGTCCAAACTACTATGATCTCTTGCAGTCAAGTAAGAGTCTCTTACATGGCCTTTCTGCTTCCACACCTTGCCTGCCTAAGTGCCCTCTAGAATGACTCTCTTGATCTTGCACTCCTTTGCTCAAAATCTTTCAGCGCTTTCCCATCTCACTCAGAATCAAGTCCAACATCTTCACCTTGGCCAGTGAGGTCCTACAGTCTGGTCCTCTATTGCCTTCGGTCTCATCTGTAAGTCCCTCCAACGTTCTCCTCGTCAGTCATACTGACCTCTTTGCTGGGCTGTGCACATCCCAGCATGCTCTTACCACAAAGCCTTAGTAAGTGGTGGTTCCTTTACCTTTCAAACTTGCTCCCCTTTTTCAAATTTCTTTTCCTTATTGATTTTAGAGAGAAAGGAAGTGAGAGGGAGAGAGAGATAGAAACATTGCTAAGAACACCGATTGGCCACCTCCTGCATGCCCCCCACTGGGGATTTGGCCCAGAACCTGGGCATGTGCCCTGACCAGGAATAGAACTGGGGACCTCCTGGTGCATGGGTTGATGCTCAACCACCGAGCCACACTGTCTGGGCTCCACTTATATAGTTTTGAAACAACTGCCATAGCATATAAATTCCCCCCAATAGGCAACTCCTTTATCTCCTTGTTACAGTGATAGAAAATAAAATTGAGAATTTTATCATTTTCCCTCCTCCTTTCCCCTCTCATATGGGGTCACTTATCTAACTACACACCTCTTACCTCTCACTGTGATACTAAGCTAATTATAAAAGTCTGTTTAAATCTATCCACCTGTCTTTTGTTTTGCTGGCTACCTGGGCCTTTTCCAAGCAGGCAGAAAATCTCCAATCAGTCTGTTATCACAACCAGAACGTAAGTGATTAGTGACCACAGAGAGAAGCAGAATCAGTTTACATCCTTTCACGCTAGAGAATGATACCACCTCACGAGCAAGAAATCTGAGGCTCCCGGACCTTAATCTAGAAAACCTGCAGTTAATAATCACATTAAAGTTGGCTTTACATGCCAGACAGCTTTTGTTTCCTCTGTCGTTTTTACAACTGGAGTGTCCTTTGTGGTTATCAAAGTTATTTGCTGAAAGGCATATAAAACATTTAAACATTTTAATCTATAATAAAATAGGTCTTACAGTTTAGCTATATTTGAGTTAAAATATACTTTGCATTAATTTTTTTAAAAGCTAGTAACATTGCTTGTATTTATCTGAAGTAAAATTCAGCAATTTAATTAATACACCGAAAACTCCTTTTTTTGAGGAATTAAATGCATTTTTCATTGTAATCTGTCAACCTAAATCAAGACTATAAAGATCCAACTAGGGCCACACTCTCACCCCTTCCCCCAAAAGGTAAATTATTTTGCAAAGGAAAGAGAACTAACCCTGAAGCTACAAATTCAGCAAGGAAAACGGGTCAAAACACAGATGTGCAGAGGCAGGGAGAGTTGGTACAGGTGATCAGGTCAATATGCAGAGGTTCTGAGGACAGCAAACTGAACTTGTCTTCTTTTTCATAATCAAATACTTAATGAAAACAAATCTAATTAACACCATAAGCCAAAAAGTGATCTTGTAATGTGTAGTTAACTTTTACTTAACATTCCAGTAAAAGAACCTGTATTAGCTAAACCCATTTCAGCTGCTTCAACGTAATTTACTGCATGTTCACTAAAGTTATCTGAGCCTTCAGACACCTGTTCTCTTTTAGAAAGAGTAATTTACAGTGTGTGTGTGTGTAGTGAGTGGAATGAAATGCGTAGGCCAGCTGTGGAGATGATGCTCACAGAATGAAAATACAGTGTGAGTCTATATATATACTGACATAGAAGAAAAGTTACAATGGCATTTTTTGGTGCCAAAAAGTTCAGGTATATTAAATACTGATTTACTAAATACTGATTTCTAAGGTATAGATGGTATTATGAAAATAGAATACTTGGAAGAAGAAAAATCTCAAAAAGTCAGGTTTGCGCCCTGGCCAGTTTGGCTCAGCGGTTAGAGCATCGGCCTGCGGTCCGGAGAGACCCGGGTTCGGTTCCCGCTAAGGGCGCGTACTTCGGTTTCAGTTTGTCCCCGGCCCTGGTTGGTCGTGCCACTCGATGTGTCCCTTCACGTCGATGTTTCTCTCTCTCTCTGTTCCTCTCTCTCCCTCCCACTCTATCTGTACAAAAAAATGGAAAAATATCCTCGGGTGAGGATAAAAAAAAAAAAAAAGTCAGGTTTGCCACTTCCACGATAAAAAATATCTATTACAGACATGGGATTAGTCTCCCTTCGGTTGTGGCAAAGAAATTCTGTGGCAGTTTCCTAGAAGAAAAAGCTTGAAACACATGAAGTTAATGTGCAGAAGTTTGAAAAGGTGTCTTTGCCTATACAGAGATTGCTGCACTAAGACAACTCTTATAAATTATGTTCATATTTTTCTAGATCTATGATACTAATTAGCTATCTCAAGCCTCTGTTGGTCATATATATATCCTTCACATTTAAACTTCCATTTCTCTCCTCTTAAAAATTTAACCAGATTATAATGGCAACAAATTAATTTAAAATATTGCTCTCTTTGATATCCTATCTGCCTTTGGCATCAACTGTAAGGTCTCATAGAAATACTAGTTAAAAAGTTAAAAGCAGTGCTTTCTTCAAAAGAGACACCAAGTTAGTGAACTATTATTTCTCAGTAGGCAATTTACTAAAAATGTGAGCCCTATTAAGCCAATGTTGGTTTTATAACTTTTAAAAAGTATTTTAATACTTTTTGTTAATCATTATATTAACAGTACATAGTTGTATAATTAGATAGTCATAGTACTTAAAATGTATCCTTATGGTTCTTTTCTAGTCACTTAAAATAACTGGTCTCCTCATGCAACATAACAAAAAGTTACAAGATACAAGAGCCATTTTTCCACATGATCAGACTTGAACTCTGAAGCCAAAATAATACAAAATATCTTATAAAAATAGTATTTTAAGTGGCATTAAAAACACTCCTATATATAATTTAAAATTCTCAAACTCCCATTCAAAAATCGACAGTAATATGTTCTATAAGTTTGTTTCTAAATAAAGTCATAGTTTACTATAAAAAGATAACATAGCATTTTATGTAACAAGCTTTTTTGTTTGGTAGCTGTGCTTATTAGTCATTTTTCTGGGTTTTTATATTATTCATTATCAAAAAAGGCCCAAAATATACTAATGAAATTGAGGAGGACATTTGAATCTTTGCTTTCAGTAACCCCTTAAATATTTTAGATCTATAGAATTTATTTAAATACTTTAAGTAAATACAGTAAAAAAATGTATTTAGTAAAGAATATTTACTATCATTTGTGAGAATAAAGATTATGTTGATGAAAGTAAAAATTTCTCTCAATTTGAGTAGTACTTAAATTGAGCACTTAAATTGAGGTGCTGTGGTAGGTACTTTAATAAGATTCTCAGCCTTAAAAGTCCAATAAAGGCACCCAAAGTGTTTCATCTAAAACTTTCCAGGTAAACACTTTGGTATGTATGTATGTATGTATTTATGTATGCATTTATTTATTTATTATCCTCACCCAAGGACATTTTTGCATTTATACTCAGATAGAGTGGGAGGAAGAGAGAGAGAGAAACATCGATGTGAGAGAGACACATCGACTGGTTGCCACCCACATGACCCCAACTGGGGTCAGGGACAAACTGCAACCTAGTACGTGCCCTTAATGAACCAAACCCAGGACTCTCCGATCTGCGGGCCGACACTCTAACCACTGAGCAAAACCGGCCAGGGCAACATTTATGGTTTTTAAATGTCAGGTATGGCCAGTCATATTACGTGTACACACACACACACACACACATACATTTCCCCCAAAACTTATACATACTTTTAATAATTATAATGCTAGTGTTTATATTAAAATACATTTATTTGCAAAATGTAATATAATCTACACACACCCTGTGTGTGTGTGTGTGTGTTTCTGTGTATTTTTTTGGGAGGGGGGGAGGAAGGTGTTAACTTGTCAAAATAGATGGTAGGCATCATCCTTGAAATACACACAAATATTATAGGAATATTGTTCATTTAATTAATGCAAACCACCTGTCTAAATACCTTTAGCAAGCAATTTGTATAATTCAATGTTAAAAAGATCCAGCTGAAATATAACTTCTCTAATTCTGATCATTCTGAGAACTTATTTTTTTTTTTCCCCATAGCTAAGGGGGTCCCTCTAAAAACTAGCTTAAGTCTCTAAACACCAGAATTCCTCAAACAGCTGTTAATTGTGGACCATGGGACTGGCTGAAATCTGCTTCTGCTTATTTAGTTAATGGTTCACTTCCAGGTCCTAAAAGGATTGTAGCCTTTCTCCAAAGATAATGTCGGAGGCATTTATGTCTGCCTTCTACATAGTTGGCTTGTTCTGTTTTTTTCACTCTCCATACAATGCAAATCTGAGTGAACTCACATCTGTCACGGATCGACCCAATTCGTGGGCAATCTTTTCCCATCGACCTGGGGTCCCTCCTGGGAACTTAACCATACTTCTTGTCAGCTGGCTGAGGTCCTCTTCTGTCCATTCAAGTGCCTGCAAAACATTAAAAAAAAGAAAAAAAAAATAATTTAAAGAATGTTTGCTAATACATTTAATAAACCTATGAAACCAACTATCAGCAATATACTTTCTGCAAAAACAATAATATTACAATGTATCTAATAGTTCAGATAGAGGTTTGAGTTGCATATTTAACATTAGAATGCAAAGCTCCAGCAGTCTTTTAAATTTTCCTATGTATACCAAATAAAAAGCAGAGATATTGTGAAACCAGGCTTTTGAAGACATTTAGGAAAAAAAAGAAGAAAAAAGGTAAGTCAGTTTTGCATGAAAGTGAGAAACCGTCCACAAAGCCTATGAAATGCACTGTGTCACTGTTGCTTAAAAATGCCTCATATATGGTTACTATAAAAGCTCTTAAAAGTTTTAAGAAAAATTATAAAGCTTTTTTGGGCTTTCTTTTAAGTATAACCATAAATGAAAACATCAACAAGTAAATGTAGAGATCAAGAATCATAACTGAGACAAAGATCTATTTTTTATTCATTCTACGTAACAATATTCTAAAAATCATGAATAAGTTTAACTTAATCATGATAAGTGTAACTTATCAAATAGTAGCATTATACAAAATTTTGGAACAGAAATAAAATTAGAAACTCATATGACCAAGACTTAAACCATCAAGTCCATGCAGAGCAACATTTCATTTTTGAGAAGGGATAAACAGCTCCTAAAAGTTGATCAAATTATTAATTTAAATAATAAAATACCTGAAATATTACAGAATCTTTTTTTGCAAAAACAAACACTCTAAGATCAAACACATTCCTGGCATTTTATTCAGCATTACTACTTGGTCAAACCCAAAGCTGAGCAAGGCAAAAGAAACTATTATCAATAACAAACAAACATATTACAATTATTTTACATTACATTTTAGCATTAAACTATTCCCTACCAGAGGCAGTAACCAGTTTGGTATTAAACAATACTCTAGGAGTCAGCAGAGAGATGGAAGAAGCCTACCTTATTTTTCTTTAATGAAAAAGAAAGAAAAAAAAGAAAGAAGGAAACCTTTGAGACAAATACCTTTTCTAATCACCATTTCCGATAATGAACAGGCATACATCAGGCCGTTTGCATTACAGAACCATCAGCACAGAACAACAGTCAGAGGTGAGTGACCCCAGGGACTATCTCCACAGCTACAGCAAAGCTTCTCCCTGACACTAATCCTCCCTGTCATTCTCCCACTGTGCTCTAACCACACTGACATCCGCCTGCCTCACTGCAAGCTTAACGGGGCCCTTCCTGACTTTTTACTGTCTCCCCCAATCAATGGTTCAAGCGTGCTCTTTTCACCAAGTCCAAATGGCAGCTTCACTCATAATCAAAGTGCACTGCCCCTGTTAAAGGGCTTTCCCAAAGGCTCTCCCATTTGCATTCATTTGCAAAGCAAACTACTTTTATTCACTTTGTTCTGCTATCAAGAATGTTCCCTGAAGCAGATAAATTGGCATAAATACAACCTGCCACTTAAGAGTCAGTAAATAATAGCCAATAGTAGGGAGGATTTTATCAATCATTCTATTTTGTATCCACTAAAAGCTGAAAGCCTCCAACACATTCATCAGTACAACCCTTACGATCCAGGCATAAATTCACATAAAAAGGTAGCCTACATTGGGTATGGTTGAAATTTCTTTGATATTTAATGAATATCAGAAATCTAATTCTCCATATCAGGTAATTAAAAATTTACATTGAAGGTTTTTCTTTCTTTCTTTTTGCTGGTTTTTACTTTGTTGAGAGGAAAAGTATTATTGAGATATTATTCACAGGGACATAACTGGATTTTCAAGGAAAGCATATATTTTTATTGCCAAAATGTTGAAACTTTAACTGTACAAGTCGGTTTCAGAAATGCTAAAGATTTAATAAGAATTTACATATAAGCTTATTGTACAAAGTCATACCAAAAAGAGCATCAAGTTGACACTGCACAGGGCTATAGTATTTAAACTATGTAGTATATCAATGCAGTTTCACACTAAATCAGATAATTTGATTTCTGCTAATTAATAATTCTATTAATTATAACATTTTTGGAGCAAACAATATTGTCTAAAATATCAATAATATATAGGTATTGTTTCACATAGTAAGCTAATTCATTAAAATAATTACTATTTTTAAGAGAATGGTTTTCAAAATATGCTGCACATATGAGCAATGGGCTTTAAAAATCAGCCTGATTATAATTCCCTGGTTAGTAAAATGAGTCGAAAAGCACAAGCCACTTTTTCTGGGAAGGAAAAATTTTAAATCAAATATTTGGACTGATATCCTGACAAATTGACTGCTAGGACAATCTTTCTGTTTAGTTTCATAGTTATTTCATGGCCATGACTGTTAATATTAACAGAAACTACACCAATAATAATTAGAACCATAATCTAAAATCTTTGAGAGAATCCTTTTAGGAAGTCATTATTCTCTCTCCTACTTTGGTGAATGTGCAATTCCTCAGCAATAGTTATTGTCTTTAGAAGCAACAGAGCCTACAGTGATCCAGCCACTATGGCAGCTATGAGGGTGGCCATGGTGTGAATGTATTCTCCGGGTTCTAATCTGGAGCCAACTGTAGCTGTGAAAGTCAGATGAATGCATAAGCATACTGCTTTGCCACGTAAAACCATGTGTGTCCATTATCACCGAGACACTGGGCCACAATTTCATCTCTATAGCAAAGTAGTGGAATATACCACATGGTGTGGGGACAGCTGCCGTGACTCCAACAGCATTCCAATTTTGCATCAGAAAAGCCCCACTCTGGGAATAAATTTCCATACTGAATACAAAATAAAAAGTATGTTTCAAATTATTCAATATTTTTACATAATGACCCAAAAGTAAGAGCTGATACAAAATTTTATATTGTATTCCCAAATCATGTCCCTTTAGGGATAGATTTTTGTCAGAAAACCAGCTACGTCAAAGATTTGGTGCCCTTGAAAATCCTTACTATTTGGACTATATGGGAACCAGGAGTTGGAGGCTATGGCAAAAAGCACATTATATTTTTAAAGTAATCTATACACACTTTTCCCCTCACAGCTTTAGGCTATAAAATATTAATTTAAAAAAGGATCATGCAATTTATTTGGACTAAAAATTTATGGCCAAATTAAAATAAAAAATTTAAATGTAATTATTTTCATACTTGAATGACAAAGATCCATTTCTATCTAAAAGTAGATATCGAAACTCCCTAATGAACAATATTTCTATTGAAATGACCAGTTAATAATCATTATTTATATAATTTAAGAAGCTACACTTTTAGACCCAGTAATTTTTAACATATTCAGCCTAACTCATAACTTCTGTGGATGAAAAGGGGCCACATACTAAACCTGACAAGCTCAGGGGAGGCTTAATGGTGGATTTACAGACTCAACACCTAAAGTAAGCACATAGGACAGTCTGAACTTAAAAACTTCTAACTAAAAGCAGTCCATGGTGAGTAGTCATGTCCCAGGCTGTATTTTTCTGTAACAAAGTTCAGTCTTTACCTTAACTGAGCCTGTCTGTTGTCTTTTTGTGCATCTATGATAACATATCTGATAACAGTAACTTTGGAATATCAAAAGTAATTCCCTTTTTTCTGGACCCCTCAGAGCACAACCACCAAATCAGAGCAGAGACTTCGTTATTTTCATGTGAACTGTTGACTGTTAATTATTCTGAACCCACACATGTAAAAGAAGCATGTGTCGATTCTATTAGTTTTGTCTTTTATCCAATTTCAGAGATACCCCGCCCCCAGCTTTGCTTTCATTGTATAAAATAAGGTGTAAAACTGCCATTCTCTGGAGCATTCTCACAATCTATTGAGATTTTTGCTTCCTGGCAATTGTTGTCAGTTTGGCTCAAATAAACTCATAAGAATTCTTACTGGTTTGGATGTTTCTTATGCTGACAATTCTCAGAAATGTTACCTAAGAAATAATATCCTGAGATTCCAAAATGGCGGCGGAGTGAACGGAGCTACACAGACCGTCTCCCAGAACCAAACTGGAATTACAACTATAACACAGACAAATCGACAGGAAAAAGCAACAGAAAAGCAGCTTGCGAGGACCATATAACCAGGGACACTGACTCCATCCCGGTAGGCTTGCGAAGGCGCGAGACGGGGGCTGGGAGCCCACGGTCAGCAGCGGCCTCAGCTGTAAGCGGTGCCCTCGGGTCACACTCCCAGGCGGCTCCACAGCGCAGCCGGGACAGAGGCTGAAACAGCCACAGCCACTCACCTTGGGCCCCGGCAGAGGGAGGGCGGACTGGACTGGAGCTGTGTCGGGACACTCGGGGTTTGGAGGGCGCTCAGAGCTTTTGCTGAGTTGCTGCCACGCAGGACGGTGGCCATATTGCTCCTTCCCAGGGCTCTGGGGAGAGACAGCAGCCCCTCCCTCGGAGATCCAACCCCACCCTGTGGCCATTGAAGTGCTAATTGAAGCTCATTAACAACCAGCATCTGCCCCACCCTCGTGAACTCGCCTTATGCTGAGCACCTGAGGGAGCTTTTCCATCAACTGACAACCCAAAACCCATCAAGTGACCTTGACTGCTAGCCTCCAGGCAAAAAGCTAGAGGACAACAGTACCTTTCCTGTGCTAGCAACTTTAACCAGGAAAGTAAGACTTGACAGTGGTGTTTAACATGGGTCCTCCCTTGCTCATCTAAACCCAGGAGAGGAAGCCACAAACAGCAGAACACCAACACCCACAGGGAAAACTTGGCAGGCTCCAAAGCCCACTGTGATAGCCAAAATGGCAAAACACAGAAACAGAAGCCAAATGAAAGAGCAAGAGACCTCCACAGAAGATGAGATCAATGTGGAGCAGTAAGGCATGTTAACAGAGCTAGAATTCAGAGCGATGATCTTGCGGAAACTCAACAGCATGAGTAAGGACATAGAGACGCTGAAAAGAAGCCAATTGGAAATTAAAACCCACCAAGAAGAGATA